CAAAATCAGAGAGCAAGCCTCATAGAACCTTCGAGTCAAATTTGGGAAATTTGTTCTTCAGCGAAACCCTAAGATCTCTAGTGGGTTGAGGAAACTAAAATCGCAAGGGAAGAAAAGGAGCAGAGCCTGGGGAGAGAAGTTGAAAGGTGAAGAGAGACAATTTTTCTCGTCGTCGGAGCATTTAAAGCTTAGTGTACGTGGGCCTTTGAAATGTGGGACGTGTGCAAAAAATAAGGAAGGAATGATTGCACATTCGACAAAATCGTAAGAATTGAGTCCCATCATACACAAATCGAGGTTGACCTAAGAAGACCTAACCCGTCCCATTCGAAGCTCAGCTCCTGCTTAAATCCACTTTGACTAGGGACTGGGGGACAACTGATGATACCTAAAAAAATTTCAAGTCTGAGCTCAGGTATTGAGGTCAAGATGGANTTAAATCCACTTTGACTAGGGACTGGGGGACAACTGATGATACCTAAAAAAAATTCAAGTCTGAGCTCAGGTATTGAGGTCAAGATGGAAGATCAACCAACAATGCTTGAGTTCCGTGGTCCAGACCATGGGCTCCCTCGACCTACACCTCAATGAAAATCAGTGGAAGATNAACAACTGATGATACCTAAAAAAATTTCAAATCTGAGCTCAGGTATTGAGGTCAAGATGGGAGATCAACCAACGACGCTTGAGTTTCGTGGTCCAGACCATGGGCTCCCTCGACCTACACCTCAATGAAAATCAGTGGAAGATAGCTAGCAACCACTAAACGCCCCTTCAACGGCAGTAAACGTCAATCTAAACGCAAGAACTTCAGCCACCTAAACCATCGCCTGAAATCAAGCAAAGTGATACAAGAAAGAGGTGAAAATCTCACCCCAGAGCCCGCGGAACTAGGAACTAAGTTATAAATACTGTACAAAGACCTCACTTTGAGGCAAGCAATAAAAATAATATCAAGAAGACTATGTAATCCTTTCTTCANGCAGTAAACGTCAATCTAAACGCAAGAACTTCAACCACCTAAACCATCGCTTGAAATCAAGCAAAGTGATACAAGAAAGAGGTGAAAATCTCACCCCAGAGCCCGCGGAACTAGGAACTAAGTTATAAATACTGTACAAAGATCTCACTTTGAGGCAAGCAATAAAAATAATATCAAGAAGACTATGTAATCCTTTCTTCATCTTTAAAATAATTCTCAAGAGCAAAAGTCTCTATTAAAAAGTAAATTAGCCGAGCTTCCGAGCTTGTAAACCATTATAACTGCTCTGTGCAATCAACCCCTTTTTCCCGTTAAAGTTACCGCATTATTTCCAAGAGCCTTGTAGCATAAATCGAATCATGTAGTATACATATTCTTTTCGATCACGTTTTACACACCATCAGTACCTTTAAGACTTTATTTAANATTTGTAAACCACTATAACTGCTCTGTGCAATCAACCCCTTTTTCCCGTTAAAGTTACCGCATTATTTCCAAGAGCCTTGTAGCATAAATCGAATCATGTAGTATACATATTCTTTTCGATCACGTTTTACACACCATCAGTACCTTTAAGACTTTATTTAACCCCCCTAATTCTTTTACCAAACAGGCTGACCAGGCACAACGCCACCACCCCCAANGCTTGTAAACCATTATAACTGCTCTGTGCAATCAACCCCTTTTTCCCGTTAAAGTTACCGCATTATTTCCAAGAGCCTTGTAGCATAAATCGAATCATGTAGTATACATATTCTTTTCGATCACGTTTTACACACCATCAGTACCTTTAAGACTTTATTTAACCCCCCTAATTCTTTTACCAAACAGGCTGACCAGGCACAACGCCACCACCCCCAACACAACCTTCACCAAGTAACAACCACCACCCCCGACATCAGCTACCAAACTGAGAACCACCCATCAACCAGCTAAAAAGAAAAGAGAGAAGCAGCCCACTCCAGGTGTCCCACCAAAATCAAATCCAACCAACATCACTGTTATAAATGCACCAGTAACTCTGACTTTATCTATTCAATTCCCAACACGGCAACACCTATCAATGCTCCAATTNCCAGGTGTCCCACCAAAATCAAATCCAACCAACATCACTGTTATAAATGCACCAGGAACTCTGACTTTATCTATTCAATTCCCAACACGGCAACACCTATCAATGCTCCAATTTCGCCATCTCTACTACCCTTATCCACCGTGGTTGTTGTAAAATCGCCAAGACCCATAGCAAATGGAAAAAAAATCTTTGAATTTGAGTGTGGTTGAATGGGAAAAATTGAAAAAGAAAGAAGAAAAAAAAACTACCAAATTGAAAAACAAAATTCTAAAGCGAACCAATCGAATAAAGACTCTCGAAGATGGTTGTGAGTTTCGATGACACTAACAGTGCTGAGTGCATGTGTGTGTCAGTCACGTCTTTCCTTATTGTTCTTCCTCTATTGCCGCCGATATGTATTTGGTGGTAGGGCATTTCGATTGCATGTTCCAGGAAACCACCAGAGGGAGAGTGTGGTGCTTGTTAGGTATCATCACCACTCTCTTTCTCTCGATTGCGATGGGGATTTGGATGCAGATGGTTTGAACCGAAGGAATGAGACTGAGGAGTAGGTAAGGAAAATAGTTTTCGTCGGTAAAGGAGGGAGCATTATGTCAGAGGAGAAAGGGGAAAAAGAACAGGAATTAGGCTCAATGCTAGTCAACTGTTGTTGGCTTGGAAGGGGATTGGGGTGTTTTTTTTCCTAATGTTGAAATGTTTTTGAAAGTGAGAAAAAATGTAATCCAAAGATGAGTAATTTTGCAATTTTAACAAACTTTAGAACATTTTATTTTAAAGTAATTTCTTGCCTTCACTTTTAATGGCCAAAAAATAAGCACGTGAGTTAATTGCAAAAATTTTAGAAGTGTGGAGGGTAAATTGTTGAAATTAAAACTATAGGGAGTCGATTATAACAAGACTCAAAGTTGAAGGGATAATTTGTAATTAACCCAAAATAATTTTGATAAAATCAATCAATTTATTATCAAATCCAATAACATAAGAATTGTTAGCCTTAATACAAGTCAAAAGAAATGGATAAAGAGCAATGCTGGGGATGCCAAATCAATATGGATCAGTGGATCATGTTAACTTTTTTTAATAGGACCTACTTATATCCAAGGGTGTCTATTCATTTAGAAANGATCAGTGGATCGTGTTAACTTTTTTTAATAGGACCTACTTATATCCAAGGGTGTCTATTCATTTAGAAATGGTATCCCAAATTTAGAATGCAAATACTCATGGATAAAATATGATAATATTTGGTTGGTCTTTCTTAACCCGACATAGGCCCAAATTCCTTAACAAAAAAAGCTCCGTGTGAATTATCCGAATTCCTTAACAAAAAAAGCTCAAGTTGCCCTGTCCAACAGAATAGTTTTGACTGATCGACTATGAAAGTCAAATCCGATAATTNGTTGGATATGATAAGACTAGGCTTGCAATTTATCCAAACTTATTGTTGGGGCCCGATATATATATATGTCTTAAACTCTGATCCATTTAAATACTACTTAAGCCCATAGGGATAGTAAACTCATTGCCCGGTAAGGACTGAGGTCTCACCACGTCTAATGTGGAGCTACCTGGTTCGAAACTCTTCCTACACCTGTATCCATAAAAAAACAGTTCATCTATCTATAGTAATACCCAACACTGACCATGATCAGTCCCACGGGCCAATAATACTGTGCCACTGGACCACTCTTCAACTATATATATATTTTGGCTGCAATCTTGCACTTGTTGCCCTGTTGTTTTGATGGTCCTTTGGTGGTGTTTGGCCTCTTTTAACTTCTGATTGTCTCTTAACTGTCATTTGGTTAACTAGTTTTTGTTGCTTGCTAACACCATTTTGCATGTTTTATACTCTCCTTATCTTTGCTCTCAAGTTGCCCTGTCCAACAGAATAGTTTTGACTGATCGACTATGAAAGTCGAATCCGATAATTTAACTGATTTTATTCTATGGTTTATATCCGAATTCGTTAACAATCTCAAATTTAATTCGAATAGCTTNTCCGAATTCCTTAACAAAAAAAGCTCAAGTTGCCCTGTCCAACAGAATAGTTTTGACTGATCGACTATGAAAGTCAAATCCGATAATTTAACTGATTGTATTCTATGGTTTATATCCGAATTCGTTAACAATCTCAAATTTAATTCGAATAGCTTTATTTAATTAAAAAATTTTAAATAATCACTTAATTTTTTTAATATTTATGCAAAAATATATAAATATTTCAGATCGGATATAGGTATATCTAAATTCGAAATTGTGAAACATAAGATATTGAATTTGAATAATCGCTAAAAAAGATATTAATCNATAATCACTTAATTTTTTTAATATTTATGCAAAAATATATAAATATTTCAGATCGGATATAGGTATATCTAAATTCGAAATTGTGAAACATAAGATATTGAATTTGAATAATCGCTAAAAAAAATATTAATCCATATCTAATTAATCAAATTCAAATCAAAATTCGATCCATTAAGTCTTGGCTAATGAAGTCTTGAGGAGCGCAAGCAGGTGGACTGTTTTAAGGAAGTGGGTTTCTTTATTAGGTAATGGCCACTTGGCATTGCTGNGATATTAATTCATATCTAACTAATCAAATTCAAATCAAAATTCGATCCATTAAGTCTTGGCTAATGAAGTCTTGAGGAGCGCAAGCAGGTGGACTGTTTTAAGGAAGTGGGTTTGTTTACTAGTTAATGGCCACTTGGCATTGCTGCACTCCTCTTTTTAAACCACTTTGGACACTTACAGNCTTTATTAGGTAATGGCCACTTGGCATTGCTGCACTCCTCTTTTTAAACCACTTTGGACACTTACAGCAAGTATTTGTCATAACATAAATAAAATTATATATTATGAACCACAAAGGTTTAACTTTCTGTACTACTTTCTTAGTGGGTAAGCATTAACATCTGGAAGAAATGTTTCGTGTCAATGCAGCAACTGTGGATTGATTTACATAAGAGAATTTTAGCCATTGATTTTGCCTGGTACTGTTCATCATTTGAAGATCAGATTCAAATCAATGAGAACTTCAATAAAGTAGTACTACTGCATGAGCCCTTTGCTGGTCCAATTTCCTTTAGAGCTTCTCACAGTGATTCAATATCAAAAAAGCACAACCATTCAAATCCAAACACCAATGTGACTCAACTTTAAACCCACCCCACACCTCCTTTTGTCAATCTCTTAACAACACATTGGCCCCACTTCCTCTCAAAATCAAAAGCTTTTTTCCCTATTTACTTGCTTTAATCCATTTCCAGGCTTATTCAGCAGGCAGCCTCCTTGTTCATGTCCTTCTCCAATACTTAGAGATTTTTCTTCATACGATTTCTCCTAAGATGCTTCCTGCTCCGCCACCGCCACCACTACTGCTGCCGCTCCCGCCTCCACCCCAAAAGCAGGCAAAGCAATCTCCACTCAAACAAATTGTGGAATCCAAGCAAACAAGAAATCAACTAACTTTGCCGCTGGACGTGCCATATCATAACACAATGAAAACGAGAGACAAACCAATACTCAGGCCACCTCGCCGGACCAATCCAATAGTATGGTGTGGTGCAATCCTGTGTTTAATATTCAGCCTCCTGCTCATCTTCTTTGGGATTGCCACGTTAATCATCTTTGTTGGCATTAAACCAAGAAACCCTGTGTTTGACATACCTAGTGCAAGCCTCGATGTCATCTACTTCGATTCACCAACATACTTCAATGGTGATTTTGCCTTTCTCGCAAATTTTACCAACCCCAATCGGAAAATTGATGTAAGATTTGAGTATTTGGATATAGAGCTGTACTTTTCTGACAGTCCAATAGCTACTCGAGTTCTTCAGCCTTTTCGTCAGAGACCAGGAGAGACAAGGTTGGTATCAGTTCACTTAATATCAAGCTTGGTTTATTTGCCACCGAATCTGGCTATGGAGCTTCAAAAGCAGGTGCAGTGCGACAGGATTTCATATAACGTAAGAGCAACATTTAGAGTTAAAGTCAATCTGGGTCTAATTAGTTTTAACTATCACTTGCACGGAAGATGCCAGCTAGAGATGACCGGCCCACCAACTGGCATTCTTGTGTCTCGAAGCTGCAGAACAAAGAGATGATTATGCAGAACAATTCTCTCTCTCTCTCTCTCTCTCTCTCTCTCTCTGTAGATTCATCTCATACTTTTATGGTGGACACAACTATTCTTTTTGGATTGTTCTAAGGGAAGCCTGAACGATGTTTCTTTCCAACTGCCGACTAGTATAGAGAGCCAGAGATCTTCAATCAACAGTATGATTTATATCTTTGTTGTAGGCCTTTTTAGCTTGATAAGCTCATTGACTGAAATTAATTATTCTAGAGAAATCAATTATCCTATGCAATCTCGTTGTATGAAATTTGAAACCTTCCAGTGGGTTCAAATAATTTGAGCTCAGCTCATTAAAAATTGGAAGGTTTTTTATGATCTCCCTGAATGAATTGGAAGTCTTTTTCTCTTTGCCATCTCAAAGAGAAAATAGCCTCGCAATCCGCAATCCACAATCCAAGAATTTTCGACCTTATGCAATTTGTCTCTCCCTCTTTCTCTCTCTGCATGTATCACTATATTCTCTGCAGTTATTTTTTATCCTACCTGACAGCCCTTCCATACTTACAAAAGTGACCCATGGGCCATGGTTCGTCGATTCCATGGATGACTTATCCAATCTCAAGATCTTCTTAGGCTTTGGCCCAAGAGTCGAGCACTATTAAGTTCACCCAAGCCAAGAAATCTCAAAACCTAAGGGTTCGGGTCTCACAGCTCAACAAAAGAAACACTTTGGACAAAGGACGAAGAGACAGCTCCACAAGGGGTCACCTACAAGAATTACGGCAAGGCCAGAAAATAACAGCCAAATTTCCCTTCCTGCTAGGGGCAAATCTTAGAACAATCCAATGATAGTCCTCAATCGTGCCAAGGTATAAACAAAGATTCACATGCTGTCATGCTGATTCCTTATCAGTTCTTTTCCTTTTTAATTCTAGCATACTATATGGTAAACAGATATCCACCAGCTAACTCCTTATCTTTTCTTTTCGCAAGAACTTCCAATATACTCTATTTCAACAACTATGAGTTCCACATCCTACTTAAACCCCACATTTACAATTGTAATCCACATGCTATATCTGAAAGCATAATTAGTCCAATGCCCAAAAAGAGACATATAAAGCAAGATGAGATATAGGTGATTAAATGGAAATGTAACACAATAACATGGTTCTGAATCAATCCTATTAGAAGTTTCAAGACCAAGTAAAAAGTTGTCTGGCTCATTCTATCATTTCTCGTTGGTTTATGAGTAGCCTATTCTTCTGTATCACAGGGTTTCACGATTGTTTAGGAATTGGTTCTATGACTACTATGGGACTCAATGGGGCAATTTTACAAATAATCTCTCATGGATTTGCTGGTGCTGAACTTTTTTTTTTTTTGTCAGGAACAAATTATGGTAGAATACATCTATTAATACTTGTACGTGAAATTGACTGAAGCTCTAAAACCTAGATCCAAAAAAATTCTACCGAAACATAAATAAAATTATTTGCTTAAAATTTTGGTAACCAAAAAGATAAGGCCAAAAATTGAGGTTTTCAATGAGATTAGACAATTAAACTAGAATTTGGGATAATTACATCTCCACAAATCAACAAGGAACTGTGCCACCTGATTTTGGATCACATGTAAATGCATGAGTCTACCTAATTTTTGCTTTCTCTCCTTTTTCTTGTGCTTTTTCTTTCCTTCTTGTTTTGATTCTGCATACCTGATGAGTTGTACAGGAGGCACCAAATGATTATAAATGCCTGCAATTCTAATCAGAGTATTAGGTTTGAAATTATATTCTCAGATAGGCTCGTAAATTCAGGTATAATATGTATTACGAAACTTCTAAACTGAAGAAGTTGGGAAGTAATTCCTTCGAAACTGTCCCAACTTTGTAGAACCTTCAACTTTAGCCCATACATACATTACTGCATTTGTGATCCAAAAATTAAATCTCCCACCATTCAATCCAACAGATTCAAAACTGAAACTACCCTTGTGCCACCAAAATAATAACAGAAAGAAAAGCCTAATCACAACATAGAACTAGCCTAACAACTCTGCAAGCTACCTAACAGTAAACACGGAGTTCCATTTTAGGCCCAGAGAAATCATCTAAGACTCAACAATTTTCAAAGATGATTTATCTCATCCTCAATGAAAATGTTCTTAATAAGTAATACTGCTCCGACAAATTCAAGCCCACACACTACTATCACTTATTTGAAAAACAACAAAATCTAAATCTTAGGAACACTCAAGAGCACTTAATGCATTTTAATATTTTGTGAAACATGCATGAAAAAAAACAGGATGCGAGTGTATATACTAAAACGTCTTCCACCAGAAATTCTCCAATTGCAATAAGCATGATCCCTTTGGTGTGCATTTGATGGTGTCAAATAAGGAAATAGGAAGTCAACCATGACAATAACTCTATAATCATGATTTTTGCAATGTATTTGCAGTTGAAACCAAAATGGAACGACTGCAAACATGATGTACATAACTGAATAACTGCCTAGGAGAGCAGAAAAGGTAAGCGGTAAGCCCAAGTAAATATTCTCCAACACAGAATTTATTTTTCACTTCCATGATTCAAAATTAGATATGTCGAATTTCTCATATCTTCAAACAGCTATAAATACAATGCTCAAACGATTCAAGTAAAGATATTATAAGAATATTCCAGGGAAAAAATGAAAATAGACGAAAAAGGAACCTCTTTTATGGCGATTTTTCAATCTCTTCACATACTATCAGACTTCCGATGGCGTCTTTGCCACAATCGACAATGCATGTAGTCCAGTCTGCAATTCATCTTGCAGCAAACCATAAATCAATCTATGCCTCTTAACCAAACTCTTCCCTTCAAACTCTTTCGAAACCACCTTCACATTAAAATGTGTCTCGCCATCACTACCCCTAACCCCGGCATGCCCAGCATGCTGATATGATATATCTTCAACTTCCAATTCAATAGGCTTAAGCTCTCGCTCCAATCTCTCTTTAATTCTCATTCCTCTACTCCCCAAAACACCTCCATCCCCAGTGTTTGATCTCATATCATCAATACCCACTTCAGAACTCACATTAGCCTTCGAATCACCGATACCATCATCACTCTTCAACCCCAAATTTGAACTTTCAACTGGGTTTTCACTTTCTTTTGATACTTCACTACCCAATTCACCACCTTTTTCACTTTCAACATATAATTGTAAAGCCTTCTTTTGCATCAGCTTCAACATATTCAAGAACCCATTATTCCTCGAAGGCGTTAGACTCTGTTGCAAGCCAAGAAGCACCACAAAATCGGGGGAAACCCGTAAAATCTCTTGGACGGACCGGCCCGAAAGCCCTTGAACAAGCAGAGCAGCGAGTCCTTTGGTGAGTACCGAGTCCGAATCGGCTTCAAAAACAACGTTTTTGTGCGAGTCAATGTATGCTCTAACCCAAACCTGTGAGACACAACCCTGAACCTTATTTTCAGTGGTCTTGAATCGGGAATCTAAGGGTTTCAAGTTTCGACCATAGAATAAGAGTTGTTCGTACTTGGCCTTCGGTTGTTGAACTGCTTGGAAAAGTTTGACAATTTCTTGAAGTTTTGGAGGGAGTTCTTCAATGGGTTGAAGAGAAACAGAAGGTGAAGATGATTGGGATGAAGAGACAGGCTTGGTGGCGAGTTTTTGGAAAGAGATCGACTTGAGTAATGACAGTTTCGAAGGTATAATTGGGGGTGTTGATAGAACTAGGGTTTTGAAGATTGGGTGGTTGTGATGGTGGAGGAGAGATTGCGGGAATTTGATAGAGAATAGACGGAGCGAAGTGGACGTTGACATGCTTTCGATGAAAGAGAAAACTTCGACAGGTAGGGGAAGATACTGAGAGAGAGAGAGAGAGAGAGAGAGAGAGAGACTGCAATCCTGTTTCTGTTATTGTTGGTCGGTTGTGGTTTTTTGGGTCAGCCTCCTTGGCTGAAACGAGATTGTCTTTTAGGCCCACGTTTGAGCCCACAGTCGGGCCATCTCCTTCAGCCATCCTACAAGGTTATTGAGCATTGGATTGGTAAAGCGAAATTGTCTATTCGGCCCACTTTTGAGCCCAAATTCAGCCCATTAGCTTCAGAACTGCTCCACTTTCAGGTTTTGGATTCTGGAAACAAGTTGCAGAGGAATTAAGGGCGAGCCATGGCATTGGCAATCCCACAAGGTTGTGGCGCTGAACTACGTAGCGTGAGTACCGAAGTAGTTCTTTATTTTCATGTGTTTGTTTTTTTGATCTAATTATAAATTTTGATTACAAACGAGTCCAATCCAGTTGAGTTTAATCTCAAATTGCTCTAGCTCGGCTTCATAAATTTTGCTTCCACGCTTGTCTTGGCTCAATAGTATAAACAAGTTAAGAGAAGTTTGAGCGTACGTTAACCCCTTTGATTTTTATGATCATGAACAAATAATTTGTAGGCATATGCAAGTCCGATATGAGGGTGTATTAAGATGAGTTGATGAGCTAAAACAGTTGGAGGCAACCTCACATCAAGTATTGGTGCCAACCCCAAAAGAATAGGCTTGAATTTATATATATACCATCTTTTGATTGACCTTTACAAATCATACTTCACAATAAAGCTAGAAAAAGACTAATCAAATGTAGTCTAAATGAAATGGCTAATTATAGTATAATCAAGTTATTCAAATAGATCCAGCCCAGAATAGTGGTGTGTTATTGGGTCGATACTTCAAATTGTGTCCTCCAACACAGCTTGCTTGGAAGCCATGGCAAGCTTTTATCCTGTCAAGTGTATTAGTAGAGTGATTAGACTTAGAATCTCTAAGATATTAATCTCTAAACTAAAAAATTAACAAAAATCATAATAGAAACAAAGTTAACTTAAGGTGAAAAATGGCATGTCCGATTTAACAGGTTCTACTATTGCAGGGCCAATCATACTCAAAAGAAAAGTTTACTTCTGGTTCAAAAGAAACACTAGTTGTATATTTAACATATACAAATCGAACATTATTTTCACGGAGTTGGACAAAAAAAAGAGCAATGTTATTCAACTCAAATAAAATTCAAACAATTACAATTTAAATGTATATCATCTATTAGATAAGTGAGTCTCATCAATTTTTTTAGTGATATCCGCTCATTCAACACTTATTTAAGGAATGTACATTTGGGTTAAAAATTTTGAGTTCTATTTAACTTGTGTAGCATTTTACGTAAAAAAAAAAAAAAAAANAGAGAGGGACTGCTATCCTGTTTCTTTTAATGTTGGTCGGTTGTGGTTTTTTGGGTCAGCCTCCTTGGCTGAAACGAGATTGTCTTTTAGGCCCACGTTTGAGCCCACAGTCGGGCCATCTCCTTCAGCCATCCTACAAGGTTATTGAGCATTGGATTGGTAAAGCGAAATTGTCTATTCGGCCCACTTTTGAGCCCAAATTCAGCCCATTAGCTTCAGAACTGCTCCACTTTCAGGTTTTGGATTCTGGAAACAAGTTGCAGAGGAATTAAGGGCGAGCCATGGCATTGGCAATCCCACAAGGTTGTGGCGCTGAACTACGTAGCGTGAGTACCGAAGTAGTTCTTTATTTTCATGTGTTTGTTTTTTTGATCTAATTATAAATTTTGATTACAAACGAGTCCAATCCAGTTGAGTTTAATCTCAAATTGCTCTAGCTCGGCTTCATAAATTTTGCTTCCACGCTTGTCTTGGCTCAATAGTATAAACAAGTTAAGAGAAGTTTGAGCGTACGTTAACCCCTTTGATTTTTATGATCATGAACAAATAATTTGTAGGCATATGCAAGTCCGATATGAGGGTGTATTAAGATGAGTTGATGAGCTAAAACAGTTGGAGGCAACCTCACATCAAGTATTGGTGCCAACCCCAAAAGAATAGGCTTGAATTTATATATATACCATCTTTTGATTGACCTTTACAAATCATACTTCACAATAAAGCTAGAAAAAGACTAATCAAATGTAGTCTAAATGAAATGGCTAATTATAGTATAATCAAGTTATTCAAATAGATCCAGCCCAGAATAGTGGTGTGTTATTGGGTCGATACTTCAAATTGTGTCCTCCAACACAGCTTGCTTGGAAGCCATGGCAAGCTTTTATCCTGTCAAGTGTATTAGTAGAGTGATTAGACTTAGAATCTCTAAGATATTAATCTCTAAACTAAAAAATTAACAAAAATCATAATAGAAACAAAGTTAACTTAAGGTGAAAAATGGCATGTCCGATTTAACAGGTTCTACTATTGCAGGGCCAATCATACTCAAAAGAAAAGTTTACTTCTGGTTCAAAAGAAACACTAGTTGTATATTTAACATATACAAATCGAACATTATTTTCACGGAGTTGGGCAAAAAAAAGAGCAATGTTATTCAACTCAAATAAAATTCAAACAATTACAATTTAAATGTATATCATCTATTAGATAAGTGAGTCTCATCAATTTTTTTAGTGATATCCGCTCATTCAACACTTATTTAAGGAATGTACATTTGGGTTAAAAATTTTGAGTTCTATTTAACTTGTGTAGCATTTTACGTAAAAAAAAAAAAAAAAAGGCTCTTAGGTAAAGATAGCTTATCTAGTCCACGAGATATAAACAAAGTGGAGAACGAGTACGTAATGCATGAGAATCTGTCGACATGCATATGAAATTTTCAGTCTAATAGGCAACAATAGATCATTAAGATATTACACAAATGCTCACGTTAAGTCCCCCATTGGTATGGCGGGAATAATGTTTAAGCAATACCATTAAGATATAATTTGGAGATTTAATGATTGTGGTCATTAAATTGTCAATGAATTTCAACATTAAAATATCACCGAGTCCCAACACTATCAATCGAGTGGCCATAATACATTAAATTCCTAAATTATATCCTTAAATTAAGTCCCAATAAAATTAGTGATAATGTTTATGTTCCTTAATACATTCATGTGCACTCCTCCAAGAGGTCACGCCCTCTTTTAGGTGGAAATTTAAATTTATTAGGGGGTTTCTTGAAATTGTGCAATGATATTGGACAATTTACACACACACACATATATATATATTAATCCTTGTGTGTATTCCATCAAGAAATACTTATATGCATCTCGCTTTATCAGTCCACCCTTTTAGATTAATATCAATATCTAACTTCCAGAAGTAAAAAGACTAATTATTAGCATCTCTGTCTTATATGGTCAACCCATTTCGTCCTGTACCGATTATTCTGTTGAGTTCAACAATTAATTATCGTAACTTGAGTTGATCTAGACCATATTTNTTTAGGCCCACGTTTGAGCCCACAGTCGGGCCATCTCCTTCAGCCATCCTACAAGGTTATTGAGCATTGGATTGGTAAAGCGAAATTGTCTATTCGGCCCACTTTTGAGCCCAAATTCAGCCCATTAGCTTCAGAACTGCTCCACTTTCAGGTTTTGGATTCTGGAAACAAGTTGCAGAGGAATTAAGGGCGAGCCATGGCATTGGCAATCCCACAAGGTTGTGGCGCTGAACTACGTAGCGTGAGTACCGAAGTAGTTCTTTATTTTCATGTGTTTGTTTTTTTGATCTAATTATAAATTTTGATTACAAACGAGTCCAATCCAGTTGAGTTTAATCTCAAATTGCTCTAGCTCGGCTTCATAAATTTTGCTTCCACGTTTGTCTTGGCTCAATAGTATAGACAAGTTAAGAGAAGTTTGAGCGTACGTTAACCCCTTTGATTTTTATGATCATGAACAAATAATTTGTAGGCATATGCAAGTCCGATATGAGGGTGTATTAAGATGAGTTGATGAGCTAAAACAGTTGGAGGCAACCTCACATCAAGTATTGGTGCCAACCCCAAAAGAATAGGCTTGAATTTATATATATACCATCTTTTGATTGACCTTTACAAATCATACTTCACAATAAAGCTAGAAAAAGACTAATCAAATGTAGTCTAAATGAAATGGCTAATTATAGTATAATCAAGTTATTCAAATAGATCCAGCCCAGAATAGTGGTGTGTTATTGGGTCGATACTTCAAATTGTGTCCTCCAACACAGCTTGCTTGGAAGCCATGGCAAGCTTTTATCCTGTCAAGTGTATTAGTAGAGTGATTAGACTTAGAATCTCTAAGATATTAATCTCTAAACTAAAAAATTAACAAAAATCATAATAGAAACAAAGTTAACTTAAGGTGAAAAATGGCATGTCCGATTTAACAGGTTCTACTATTGCAGGGCCAATCATACTCAAAAGAAAAGTTTACTTCTGGTTCAAAAGAAACACTAGTTGTATATTTAACATATACAAATCGAACATTATTTTCACGGAGTTGGGCAAAAAAAAGAGCAATGTTATTCAACTCAAATAAAATTCAAACAATTACAATTTAAATGTATATCATCTATTAGATAAGTGAGTCTCATCAATTTTTTTAGTGATATCCGCTCATTCAACACTTATTTAAGGAATGTACATTTGGGTTAAAAATTTTGAGTTCTATTTAACTTGTGTAGCATTTTACGTAAAAAAAAAAAAAAAAAGGCTCTTAGGTAAAGATAGCTTATCTAGTCCACGAGATATAAACAAAGTGGAGAACGAGTACGTAATGCATGAGAATCTGTCGACATGCATATGAAATTTTCAGTCTAATAGACAACAATAGATCATTAAGATATTACACAAATGCTCACGTTAAGTCCCCCATTGGTATGGCGGGAATAATGTTTAAACAATACTATTGAGATATAATTTGGAGATTTAATGATTGTGGTCATTAAATTGTCAATGGATTTCAACATTAAAATATCATCGAGTCTCAACACTATCAATCGAGTGGCCATAATACATTAAATTCCTAAATTATATCCTTAAATTAAGTCCCAATAAAATTAGTGATAATGTTTATGTTCCTTAATACATNGTATATTTAACATATACAAATCGAACATTATTTTCACGGAGTTGGGCAAAAAAAAGAGCAATGTTATTCAACTCAAATAAAATTCAAACAATTACAATTTAAATGTATATCATCTATTAGATAAGTGAGTCTCATCAATTTTTTTAGTGATATCCGCTCATTCAACACTTATTTAAGGAATGTACATTTGGGTTAAAAATTTTGAGTTCTATTTAACTTGTGTAGCATTTTACGTAAAAAAAAAAAAAAAAAAAAGGCTCTTGGGTAAAGATAGCTTATCTAGTCCACGAGATATAAACAAAGTGGAGAACGAGTACGTAATGCATGAGAATCTGTCAACATGCATATGAAATTTTCAGTCTAATAGACAACAATAGATCATTAAGATATTACACAAATGCTCACGTTAAGTCCCCCATTGGTATGGCGGGAATAATGTTTAAACAATACTATTAAGATATAATTTGGAGATTTAATGATTGTGGTCATTAAATTGTCAATGAATTTCAACATTAAAATATCACCGAGTCCCAACACTATCAATCGAGTGGCCATAATACATTAAATTCCTAAATTATATCCTTAAATTAAGTCCCAATAAAATTAGTGATAATGTTTATGTTCCTTAATACATTCATGTGCACTCCTCCAAGAGGTCACGCCCTCTTTTAGGTGGAAATTTAAATTTATTAGGGGGTTTCTTGAAATTGTGCAATGATATTGGACAATTTACACACACACACACATATATATATTAATCCTTGTGTGTATTCCATCAAGAAATACTTATATGCATCTCGCTTTATAAGTCCACCCTTTTAGATTAATATCAATATCTAATTTCCAGAAGTAAAAAGATTAATTATTTGCATCTTCGTCTTATATGGTCAACCCATTTCGTCTTGTACCGACTATTCTGTTGAGTTCAACAATTAATTATCGTAACTTGAGTTGATCTAGACCATATTTTCAAAGGAATATAAGTGACTAATTCTTAAAGGATGTAAAAAAAAATTGAATTTAAAATATCTGAGTTATCAAAAACAAGTCCAAGCATATTACCAAGAACACTGTTTTTGTTGAAAATATTGTGGAAGAGAGAGAGATTGATTTTTTTGGAACGAAAAAGGTTATAAGAACAATATCTGTAGAATATTTACCGAAAATATGCATGTAAAATGGTCAAAATACAACTTATAAGATGATGCAGTTGAGAATCAATCCCCTTGCCCACATGCAAAGCTTAGTATTTGTAGCCTTTCTCATACAAGCTCTCAGAGGCCAACCCATCCGAACTTCCACCGGTGTACTTTCCCAGAGTGGCCTCCGAGTTCGCCTTGCACCTTGCCAGAAATGCCGCCTGAGCTTTTTCGACATTCTCCTTCTGTCCACCCCATATCTTGAGTGTGCTTTTCTGCAGAGCTCGCCCAAATGAGAAAGAAAGAGTCCATGGTTTCAACACCTCCAACTTATTCATGGCGTTTAGGTTCACCGTCGCCTCTTCCTCGCTTTGTCCACCTGAGAGAAACACAATCCCTGGTACTGCCGGTGGCACAGTCCGGCGCAGTGCTGCCACTGTGCATTCGGCAATCACTTCTGGTGCAACCTGTGAAACAAGACGAAAAATTGTCTTAATTTATGTGTTCTTAGTGATATTTTTTCCTCCTTTTTTTTTTCAATGGGATTCGAGTCAATTTACGTATATTTTGATTAATCTCATTTTTCAGTTCGGTCAGAAACAGACCCTCTATGCCAACTAAAATATTAATCCCCTCCCCGCTTTAGTCAAAAATAAATAATTCACGCTTCAAATTAAAATATTCATGAGAAATAAATCTTTCATGATCTGTATGTAATAAATTATTAAAATTCAAACTTAAAATATGTAAATTTATAATTCGCCTGTGTTACCTAAGATTTGGCCAACCAATATTATTTCAAGCTATAGCTATCATATTACCTTTGGGCTATCAGAGCCCGGTGTGACCATGTTGGGCTTCAAGAGTGTTCCTTCAAGAAGAACATGTTGGTCATTGAGTGCCTTATAAACCGCAGCTAGCACAGTCTCAGTCACAGCAGCACATTTCTGAATAACATGACTCCCATCGGTCAAAATCTCTGGCTCAACAATGGGCACAAGTCCATTCTCCTGACAAATAATCGCATAGCGAGCCAAGCCCTGCGCATTTTGCTGAATGGCCAACTCAGAAGGCTCAGTGGCACCGATTTTCAGGACCGAACGCCACTTGGCGAACCGAGCACCGGCTTTATAGTACTGCTGACAACGAGCTCCGAGAGAGTCGAAGCCCTGAGTGGTGGTCTCGCCATTGGTTCCGGCCAACTCGACGGTTCCCTTGTCGACTTTGATGCCCGGAATGACGCCGTTTTCTTGGAGGACTTCCACGAAAGGCTTGCCGTCGGAGGTTTTCTGGTAGAGGGTCTCCTCGAAGAGGATAACACCGGAGAGGTAGGGGAGTGCGTTGGGGGCTGTGAAGAGGAGTTCACGGAGGGCCTGGCGGTTGGACTCGACGTTCTCGACGTTGATGCTCGACAGGCGTTTTCCGATGGTTCCGGTGCTCTCGTCGGCGGCCAGGATACCTTTGCCGGGTGTGGCAATGTACTTGGCGTTCTTGATCAGCTCATCTGGAGAGAGAGCATGAAGTTCAATGGAAGGAAAAGTCAGTCGCATCTCATGGAAGACTAAAAAGAACAGTGTTTTTGAAGTTATTTTTAANGACATGCATATGAAATTTTCAGTCTAATAGGCAACAATAGATCATTAAGATATTACACAAATGCTCACGTTAAGTCCCCCATTGGTATGGCGGGAATAATGTTTAAGCAATACCATTAAGATATAATTTGGAGATTTAATGATTGTGGTCATTAAATTGTCAATGAATTTCAACATTAAAATATCACCGAGTCCCAACACTATCAATCGAGTGGCCATAATACATTAAATTCCTAAATTATATCCTTAAATTAAGTCCCAATAAAATTAGTGATAATGTTTATGTTCCTTAATACATTCATGTGCACTCCTCCAAGAGGTCACGCCCTCTTTTAGGTGGAAATTTAAATTTATTAGGGGGTTTCTTGAAATTGTGCAATGATATTGGACAATTTACACACACACACATATATATATATTAATCCTTGTGTGTATTCCATCAAGAAATACTTATATGCATCTCGCTTTATAAGTCCACCCTTTTAGATTAATATCAATATCTAATTTCCAGAAGTAAAAAGATTAATTATTTGCATCTTCGTCTTATATGGTCAACCCATTTCGTCTTGTACCGACTATTCTGTTGAGTTCAACAATTAATTATCGTAACTTGAGTTGATCTAGACCATATTTTCAAAGGAATATAAGTGACTAATTCTTAAAGGATGTAAAAAAAAATTGAATTTAAAATATCTGAGTTATCAAAAACAAGTCCAAGCATATTACCAAGAACACTGTTTTTGTTGAAAATATTGTGGAAGAGAGAGAGATTGATTTTTTTGGAACGAAAAAGGTTATAAGAACAATATCTGTAGAATATTTACCGAAAATATGCATGTAAAATGGTCAAAATACAACTTATAAGATGATGCAGTTGAGAATCAATCCCCTTGCCCACATGCAAAGCTTAGTATTTGTAGCCTTTCTCATACAAGCTCTCAGAGGCCAACCCATCCGAACTTCCACCGGTGTACTTTCCCAGAGTGGCCTCCGAGTTCGCCTTGCACCTTGCCAGAAATGCCGCCTGAGCTTTTTCGACATTCTCCTTCTGTCCACCCCATATCTTGAGTGTGCTTTTCTGCAGAGCTCGCCCAAATGAGAAAGAAAGAGTCCATGGTTTCAACACCTCCAACTTATTCATGGCGTTTAGGTTCACCGTCGCCTCTTCCTCGCTTTGTCCACCTGAGAGAAACACAATCCCTGGTACTGCCGGTGGCACAGTCCGGCGCAGTGCTGCCACTGTGCATTCGGCAATCACTTCTGGTGCAACCTGTGAAACAAGACGAAAAATTGTCTTAATTTATGTGTTCTTAGTGATATTTTTTCCTCCTTTTTTTTTTCAATGGGATTCGAGTCAATTTACGTATATTTTGATTAATCTCATTTTTCAGTTCGGTCAGAAACAGACCCTCTATGCCAACTAAAATATTAATCCCCTCCCCGCTTTAGTCAAAAATAAATAATTCACGCTTCAAATTAAAATATTCATGAGAAATAAATCTTTCATGATCTGTATGTAATAAATTATTAAAATTCAAACTTAAAATATGTAAATTTATAATTCGCCTGTGTTACCTAAGATTTGGCCAACCAATATTATTTCAAGCTATAGCTATCATATTACCTTTGGGCTATCAGAGCCCGGTGTGACCATGTTGGGCTTCAAGAGTGTTCCTTCAAGAAGAACATGTTGGTCATTGAGTGCCTTATAAACCGCAGCTAGCACAGTCTCAGTCACAGCAGCACATTTCTGAATAACATGACTCCCATCGGTCAAAATCTCTGGCTCAACAATGGGCACAAGTCCATTCTCCTGACAAATAATCGCATAGCGAGCCAAGCCCTGCGCATTTTGCTGAATGGCCAACTCAGAAGGCTCAGTGGCACCGATTTTCAGGACCGAACGCCACTTGGCGAACCGAGCACCGGCTTTATAGTACTGCTGACAACGAGCTCCGAGAGAGTCGAAGCCCTGAGTGGTGGTCTCGCCATTGGTTCCGGCCAACTCGACGGTTCCCTTGTCGACTTTGATGCCCGGAATGACGCCGTTTTCTTGGAGGACTTCCACGAAAGGCTTGCCGTTGGAGGTTTTCTGGTAGAGGGTCTCCTCGAAGAGGATAACACCGGAGAGGTAGGGGAGTGCGTTGGGGGCTGTGAAGAGGAGTTCACGGAGGGCCTGGCGGTTGGACTCGACGTTCTCGACGTTGATGCTCGACAGGCGTTTTCCGATGGTTCCGGTGCTCTCGTCGGCGGCCAGGATACCTTTGCCGGGTGTGGCAATGTACTTGGCGTTCTTGATCAGCTCATCTGGAGAGAGAGCATGAAGTTCAATGGAAGGAAAAGTCAGTCGCATCTCATGGAAGACTAAAAAGAACAGTGTTTTTGAAGTTATTTTTAAAATAAAAATAATTTCTACAAACAGCAATAGCAATTATTGATAAGCAATTAACAAATTATTCTATATACATCTTTGTGTGGAAATTATACAAATGCATGTGTATATGTGAACTGTTAAACATAGATTAGAGGATGAGAGCAATTCAGGGTAAGAAAACAAATTAAAATGAAAAAAATGGAAAATTTTGATATTTAAAAAATATTTTAAATAGCATTTTAAGAAACTAGTGAGAAAAAGTTGTGTATATCATTTTTCAATTTGAATGTGCTACCATGCTTGGAAAAAAAATATAGTTTAAAGAAATTGAATCAAGGATTCAATCTTTAACATAACCATTTTTTATATATCGCCTTAAATTCAAGCTCGATAATTTGTAATATAGATTAAACCCGAATTTTATACGGTCAAGCCAACTCAAACTTGGGCGGGTAGAGTGCTATTGCTGGTTGAATGGCTTGGAAACCNGGGATTCGATCTTTAACATAACCATTTTCTATATATCGCCTTAAATTCAAGCTCAATAATTTGTAATATGGATTAAATCCGAATTTTATACGGTCAAGCCAACTCAAACTTGGGCGGGTAGAGTGCTATTGCTGGTTGAATGGCTTGGAAACCATGCAATCCATAATGAGCTAATTCTAACAGCATATACTAAAATTAGAAACACAGTCTTCTTGCTAATAGCTCTACGTCTATATATGTATGTTCCATTGTATAAATTGACAGTTACACGTGGGTGCATGAGAGAGAGAGAGAGAGTGTACCAGCATATTTTCCTACGAAGGCCGACATAGCAAATGCTTAGGTTGATGCTTGATAGAGAAAAAACAAGACGATAATACAAAAAGAAGAACCAATCTATATAGATCAGTTTTAACGGAATATGCCAATAGGATTCAATGTGCCATTTTATTGACACGTGTCAGAAGATTAGCCTAACGAGGGTTATCATCCTGGGATAGAGGAATGAGTGATCGCTCTCCATGCCAAATGGCGCTGATATCATTCAACTCTATCTTACTCTCGTGAAGGAAAACTCTGGAAAAGCTCTTACCACTCATCTCCTACTTTTGTTTTTTTTTTCNCAATGGGATTCGAGTCAATTTACGTATATTTTGATTAATCTCATTTTTCAGTTCGGTCAGAAACAGACCCTCTATGCCAACTAAAATATTAATCCCCTCCCCGCTTTAGTCAAAAATAAATAATTCACGCTTCAAATTAAAATATTCATGAGAAATAAATCTTTCATGATCTGTATGTAATAAATTATTAAAATTCANCAGCACTTGAAGAGCACAAAGAGTTATATCTCACTAGCAGTTTTTTGGAACATAATAGCCAATAATGAAAATAAAAAATCACATCAAAAGCAAAAGCAAAAAGAAAAAAAAAAAAAAAAAAAAAAATNGAAGTAAGATTTGGCCAACCAATATTATTTCAAGCTATAGCTATCATATTACCTTTGGGCTNTCAGCACTTGAAGAGCACAAAGAGTATTATCTCACTAGCAGTTTTTTGGAACATAATAGCCAATAATGAAAATAAAAAATCACATCAAAAGCAAAAAGAATAAAAAAAGTAGTTCAATCTATAATACATTGATATTTCTCAGAACGAGTTTGAGTAAATCAGATTCATATGAATATTATTTCACACATGCAGAGACTGAATTTCACAACTCGAACGACTCCAATCAAGGGAACAACCTTACATTGTGCTAATGTTTCTCCTCACTTCAAAAGCAACTAAATGATACACGTACCTCTAATACCATCATCAACTATAAGCTGCCTGGGCTGACACAGTATAGGAAGGGAGCTAATCAGTTTCAAGCAGTCAATGGAAAGATTACACCAGCCTAGACCACAAAATACAGGGTTAGCAAACTAAAGGGGACATATAACCTCACCACCCGTGACAACAATCCCATACACATCCAACACAATTCGCGTAAATCACGCATCCCACCAAACAATCTCGCGTGTGCCTCGTGTTTAAAACAGCAGAGAAAGCTGGGAAATGCAAGTCTATTGAAGCCAAAAATATTTCAAAACAGAAATGTCCAGCACTAATGACATTATTGGTTAAAAAAAAAAAGTTCAGCAAACTGTTCTCTGGGCAATTAACTTATGATTGGGTTGGACAAATATACATCCCTTCCAAAACTATAGTGAGGACCCATTGTCACATCCCAAAAAAAAAGGAGGTCCATTGCTTGGTGGTCAATCATCATCTGTGCCAAAGTATCGGTCCCCAAACTCGCCCATGCCAGGTATAACACGGAAATCTGCATTTAAACTAATTTCAATTTCTGAGGTCACAATCTTAATTCTTGGAAACCGCTTGCAAACCACATGCACTCCTTGAGGTGCCTGAAGCCAAAAAGACTTGTCAGAAAGGTGCATTAGAAACTGGCAAGATCCTATACTGCATTACTTTCCGGGAGAAAAAAAGATCCTATACCATGTTGGGGTTATTGACTTACAGATATGAGATTAAGGAATATGATGTTGGACTCTGGTACACCCTTCTTCAAAAGTAATGAAATAGCTTGAACAGCTGAATTCCCTGTAGAAATGGTTTCACAGTTGGAACATATATGCACAAGTATATAAGGCTTCTGTTCAACTTAAGCACTTTAATGTTCCACTCAGGCGCACACACACCCGTACACATAGTGTAAGCATGTATGTGTGTTTTTGTGCATGAATACACATAGACCCCTGTATTTAAATGAAACTAGCTTGAGAAGGGTAATTCTTCGTAGTGAAAAAACAAACCTGTGCCTAGGATGGGATCCAACAATAGAACATGCCTCTCTGAGATGTCTTGCGGCAGTTTTTCATAAATCAGCTGCACAGTAATGTGCAACATGACCAAGCATCAGAATATAAAAAACAATTGTAGAGCACACCCTGCAAAACACATCCACATGAATGACGGAAGAGTGAGAGAGAGAGAGGGGCATGTAAACCTGCTGACCATTGTCACCCTCTCTGTGAATAAGAATCTTCCCAATCTTGATACCTTTACAACATGCTCGCAAAGCATTCTCCATGCTCTCGCCACTGCAACCAATTAGAGATTATTTAGCTGTTAAAGGAATTCAAAAACATAACTATGAAGACGAAAGGAACAATGGAAAAAACGGTTACCTAACTACTAATATTTTATTAATTCACAAGAGGCAATAGTCATTTACTAATATTGGGGAATCTATACAAAGATAGGTCAAGCATCTCGTAGACATTTCTCTTTTAAATCACGCACCAGAGCATGAAGCCTGGCTGGATAGTACTAGGCAATGGGTTGATCTCATCAGACGTTCATAATACTATTAATAAACGAGAGTGTATACTGCTACTTCCAAAAAATATGTAATGAATTCTCTCTTACAACTGTACCAATAGATGAAAAAAAAATTGAAAACCAGTGACAAACATGTGAAACAAATATATACAAGAGAGTGCGAGAGCCGATAAGTTTCGCCATCTGAGATGTATCTACATATTCATATAAATATTGTGGAAATCACAATTCAGCATTTGAAACATTGAGTCAATTTGTATACCTTCTAATTACGGAGACACCACATAACCTCTTACAGAAATCCACACCGGTGTACACTGACTCTGCATGTTCACAACAAAAGACGTCATGAAAGTGACAAGCAAAGAGTGAAAACACAAAAGACATTCATAATATCATCACCAAGCATGAACTTCGTCAACAAACAGATGCATCTTAAAAAAATGTCATTCAGGTCTTTCTTTGAATCCAACTTCAAGCAACCAGACAGGGTAAACGAGACCCCGAAAGAACCCAATGTTTTGCCCTCCCTTGATCAAATAGTACATTTTCTAACATTAGTAATCCAGTAAGTTAACTGATAAATGAAATTATGTCCAGAGTCTATCTCAAAAGAGCATGAGGTCACAAACCAATCACTCCTTAAAAGTTCTCTTGTCAGTATAAGAGCCATTAAGGCATAGCAGAATTCATGGACATATCAAAACAGCTTAAACTATTGCAATCTCAAGTTGTTATTGCTACACACCAAGCATATGTTATTTAAAAAGTTTGAGACCAAGGAACTAATATAACTATTCCTCTAAGGCCCGTTTGTTTTGAGTATTAGAGTGGTATAAGGAGGTGGTATTGGGAAAATAGTACGTGGGACCTATCTTATACGTTGTTTGTTTGGCATTTAATAGTTAGTACTATTTTCCGGGTCGTAATACCGACCCGCTATAAACAGTAGCTATAATGCCTTGTGGAAGGTCTTAATGAATACCACCTAGGGGGTGGTATTATATTCTTGGTATAGGTATTATAAACTAAAAAAGACTGAAATGCCCTCCGGTACAATTCTCATATAAAAGCCTAGCCGCAATTTTTGACTTTTTAAAGGTTAAAATTGTCTTTTACATTGGTTAGCCGCAATTGTTGACTTTTTTAAGTAGGTATTACACAGATAATATTTGTGATAAACAAACAAGGCGAAGGATGAGATTATAGTTTAACACCGGGTATAATATACTATTGGATTGGAGTGGAATGGATATAAAACCTTACACCACCTAAATTTTATACTCGAAATAAAAATGCCCTTAATATTATAGGGTATAGATTAAAAAATGCATCACATAGTTGGCAAGAAATTCAAGANGCTATTGGATTGGAGTGGAATGGATATAAAACCTTACACCACTTAAATTTTATACTCGAAATAAAAATGCCCCTAATATTATAGGGTATAGATTAAAAAATGCATCACATAGTTGGCAAGAAATTCAAGATATATAATATAACTGATATGCTGAACATGAAGTACATCTTCTTTGGGGCACAAAAGTGTCCCGTTGACATGGTAGGATAGGTCCAATGGGTTTAACTGAAATTCCATTGGTGAAATTGATGAGATGCAAATTAAAAAATTCCAATCTAAACTAACTCAGAATACGATGACCTAAACTAGATCAAGCTGGGGAAGAAAGAATTTAAAAGTCCAGAATATAGACTTCTTGAGTGGGTAGCGGCTTACCAGTTGGAGTGATCACCTGCTTTTCTGTAAAAGGAAGATGTCCCAGGCCATGTTCAACAACCTAATTAAGGTGTATGGAGCATACTTGATGAGTAAACATAAAAATGAAATGAATCCTCCCATCCTACAACAAAACTAGAGGCTAGCAATAAACCTAGCTCACAGCAACAAATACCCACCAAACGAATCAGCCGATCAGAATAAAAGATGAAATCATGTGTCGTCGTCTGAGCATCACGTATGAGTGTGTGCATACCACGTATCTGGAGAAACACACAACTATCAAAGGGAGCCAATACATGACAAGCAGAACCCACAAGAACATGACAAGCTGATGCTTTACTCAAAGGAAAATATAGAACCACGGGAAATGAATCCCCAAGACACAATAAGTAGAAAATTGAAATCACTAAATAATAAGAAAGAGTACCTGAAAAGTTGATTGAATGACATACAGATTAGGATATATTTTACAAAGATCATGTTGACCAAGCTTTGTCCGAATATGCTGAACAATCAGATCAATTGCTACATGGTTGTCTCCCCCGCGGGGAATGATAATATCAGCATACTTCTTTGTTGGAAGAATGAAATCATCAAAAGCAGGCTTCACAAATTTTGAGTACTGCACCATGATTTACTTTGTCCATCATTAATAAATAAAAAAATAACTATAATAACTTCATCAACATATAACAAAGTAAAGAAACAGGAGCTACGGCATGGCACAACTGAAAAGGAAACAGCTTGAATTCATCAACATAAAATGTAGCAAAAGGTAAGGAGAAAATTCTAAGAGGTGATTCATATATAATTGAAACACAATGGCTGCATGTCATTCTGCCTCACTGATGAGAAAGTATCAAGGCAAAAACAAACTTAGGTGGGGTAAATTGTATAGTCCCACCAGAATATGGGAACATCCACCAATCTCTGTGCACAACAATCCACCAAACCCTAATTAGCTTTACAAGTTTGTCTCTATTTCCTTTGAAAATCGGAGTCAACATATTGCTAACCTGATCAAGCACCATACCGATATCTCTATCCTTTTCAACTGTGTCGCGCCTTATTCTCCTTGCCAGGCGTACATCAGCATCTGCACTAAATGTATTCAATGTGAAGAATATAAGATTAACAACACAGCTTATTAAGATAATGAAGTCATAGTTCATTATGGAAGTAAATGACATCAGGAATAATCACTCGCACATCAAAATCAAGTTCAGCAACCTAGTTTCAACAGAAATAACAAGACTAGTTATAAATGAAGATAAGAAACCAAACAAGAAAAAACAATAGTGACACACAAAACTTCCAAAATTCGGCATGCAAATGCCTGTTTTAAAATATTTCACATTGCAAGTCATTCACTGAAATGCTTCAAGAAATACAGCTGTGGCAGTATGGCGAATTCATAAGCCAGAGTTCAATGCTAAATACTAGGAAGAAATTAGGATCCAAACAACTTAAAAACAATAAGACTGCCTTATTTTTTGTGCCTGTAATCAAAATATGCACAATTTATGCCCCAGAGTGCTAAAGAGCCAGAAGATAGGATAAACCTTTCAAACAACAAAGATCATGCATCCAATCATAGAAAAGGAAAGAAAATAACCTGCATCAACAAAGATCTTCATGCTCATTAAATCTCGGACACGAGGATCATGGAAAATGAGTATACCTTCCAAAATAATCACATCTGAAGGATTAACCTACCAAAGATTTCACAGCAACAGGGTCAGAGATGCAAATGACATGAAATGAAAAACAGAAAGAAGAAATTCCAGTTCAGTTAAAGATTCAGGTTCGGAGCTAAAGTGCCAGAGAACCCTTCTGATGGGGATCGTGTAGGAATTGGATATTCAATTCCTACACGATCCCCATCACCTTCACATAGAGGTGTGTTACAGGGTCATGATAAAATTGATTTGTAATAGAAGTTAGAAACTAAAAACGTAAATACAAACAGAAATACGATTATAGTTAAATTGATTTACGACTTCTTTTAATACTCCATGTTTAACAAATTTGAAATGTACCCTTCTAGCTGGGCAGATGTTTTTGTAACTCTTGAAGTCATATTTTGGAATATCTATTGGTTGCCCATGCTTCAGCTTCTCCATAGCACACAATAATTGCTCGGTGTCAAAAGCATCTGAAGGTACAGGAATATTATGTATTAAAAAGAAGCCATGGTCTCAACATGAAAACAAAAGTATTAAAAAGAAGCCATACTCTCTGTATGAAAACCATACACTGTAACTTCCATTTGAGAGTATCATAATGAGGTCACATTGCCCACCAACCCAAGCAACCAATGCACACATAAATTATATTGAAATTAAGGAATTACTAACATGCTTTTTCTAACACAGTTACACCCAAAATAAAATCATATGGTCTATTCAATGTAGAACAAGATCAGATCCTCAGGCTTTCAAATGTAAAATGGAAAAAGGTCATAAAAGAACCTTTACAAATAGTATACAACTATATTTAGTCCTCTGTATGCATATATTCATAACTCCAGACTTCTTGGGTGCAACAGAAACCATTTCTCTTGGATACAATTAAAGCGAAACTGAATGGTCAACTTACAAATTTGAAATTAAACAGTTTCAATCAAGATACAAAAACTCACCAGGATGGTCAAAGTTGTATTCATGAACTCTTGTAAGCTCCTCTGGAGTTAAATTGTGATAAAAGGAATCCTGCCAGAAAATCACTCTTGAGATATGCATATGCTACAGAAATAGATCACCTTGTTTACATGATCAAAAGATGGTATAAAGCGGCTGCAAAGTTTAGTAGGCGCTTAAAATGTAGAGTAGACATTTATTTTGGGAAATTGAACCCAATCAAATGGTTTTCGTAAAATTCTTTTCTTTTCTTTTTTCTTCATTTTTTTGTGCTGCTGAGATGTCAGTCTATATAAAACTTATATGGCAATTAGACGACAAGAAGCTGGAAATATGAAGAAACAACATTGAAATTTGAACTGCTTTGGTATCATTTCAGTAACAACGTGGATGACAACCCCCACCCCTCACCCACCCTTGCCAAAACTGCCTTTTTTTTTTTAAACAGTACCCTTGCTAAAACTTCAAAAAAAAGAAAAGAAAAATGGAAAATAATGCAACGATTGAAACCTGAAACAAAAGTAGGCAAAACTGTAAATTTGATTAAGAAGCATGTGCAAATATCCTTCCTATGTTTGGATTTGTTAATGGTCAGTAGTTAGTATAGCACCACAGGATGATTTCAAAAATCGTAAGACTCTTTAAAGTAATAAAATAATAATTGACAAAGATTGCAAGGTTGTATCAATTTTTGAAGTATGCCAAATTTGACATATATGTGGAAAAGAAGAAAAGAAGACTCGCCACAAATCAAATAAGTTCAGGACATGATCTGAAATTTAATAAGGTGGAATAGTTTTTTTCATTTGAAAAGACAATACTTAAAAGACATATATGCAAAATAAGCCCAACACTACTACACAATCGTACCGTTGAAAGCAGACAAAGAATTACAGAGAAATGAATGGAGGACGTAAATAGCATGACAAAATCCACTTTAAATTCCTAGATTTCAAAGACGGTACATAACAAGAAAATAACAATGATGATGCAGAAATAATTTCTATATGAAATATTTTCTACCCATAAAATGACGTTTTCTACACTCTTTATGAAGTGTAAAGAAAGACCTGGTTAACAAGTACAACACGCTGATCATGAAGTTGCTCAATGATCATATCACAAACTGTAGTCTTCCCTGATGCTGCGCCCCCAGCAACTCCTGCCCGCAGAATGTTTATTAGAAACATGAATCAATCCAAAATGCAGCAGACGCAAATACTTACTGTAACATATATTTATGTCTTCCTGATGCAAGTAAAGATGTAACAACAAACTGGACCATTTCTTAACATACAGAAAACATTACACTCATGACTCATAACAATCAACTAAGAATCTTAACTTGATAGGATAGCTGTAATCTTTATTATAATGAGAACAAATTTGAAACATGTTTTCTTCAAAATACTAAATTCAAACAACCTGGTAGTTGAACTTCTTTAAGATTCCAATTTCCACTAGTCAAAAGCCCATAGATGTTGAAATTCAGGGCACCATAAGGCATACACTATATCTCCACTAAAANGACCACAATTTCAATTATTGGGTTGAAGGCGTAATTGCACTAGTACAAATTGAACTTCTTTAAGATTCCAATTTCCACTAGTCAAAAGCCCGTAGATGTTGAAATTCAGGGCACCATAAGGCATACACTATATCTCCACTAAAAACTCTNAACTTCTTTAAGATTCCAATTTCCACTAGTCAAAAGCCCATAGATGTTGAAATTCAGGGCACCATAAGGCATACACTATATCTCCACTAAAAACTCTTTTCTTCACACAACTAGCCATTTTGTTGGTCCAACCCATGCCCCCACATGTAAAGTGGCAATTACTTGTTAAACCACTGAAAAAATAATTCAGGCAAAATAATGAGCTCCAATTGTGTCTAAACTATCAATGTGGCTGGCAACCATATAGGCATTCAGATGATAAGAAAGAGTCTCAACAGAATACCCCCGCATATTTTGTGCTGGGCAGGTACACATGGTACTTCTGCACTGGACCCACAACATTCCCTTTCATTGTGCAATACCTTCTAAATGACAAGCACCATCTTTTTACCATACTATACCAATCATAACTAGCACTCCCATCTTTCCCACCATATTTTTAGTTAAAACTTGTCCTAATCATCCATCCAATGTTTTTAATTCAACTTTTCAGACATTCAACTGAAACCATAATTTCCTCTATTGAGTGTGGATGTGAATCTAATTTAATACATCAAGTACTCAATTTATTTTCCCTTAATTTTAGGACCATATAAGTGTATACGTTACAGAGGTTACAATTAATGATATTCTTATTTGGGAAAGTTTGTGCTAAAATATTTCATTTGTAGGTTTGGAATAGGAGGATGAAGAATCATTTCTGCCAGATGGTGAAAACTATTATAAATTCAATGCATTTTCTCCAATACCATGAAAGCAAACTGCTCTGTTTAGACCAATCAGAGAGTAAATGTTACTTAAGGTCTCCTGTGCTGATGCATACCAATGACAAAAGGTTGCTTATGCGCATTTTCAGTTGCCGAGGTTGTTGGTCGCTCCTCCTCTGAATTTCTAGAGTCCAATCCATTCAAGTGAAATCCAGAAAGATGAACCCGTGATGAAGCCTCTATCAGATCTTCAACTGGATTGGAACCCATGGGCTGAGCCCTACAAAATGCAAAATCAAAGAGTAAGTTTTAAGTGGATATCCATTAGTAACACAAACAACCAGGATATCAACAATTGTCACATTCCACCCTTTGCATGTAAATGAGATTGCACCCCAACATGAATAGATGCAATTACAAATGATGTAATAAATATGGCTTGTTCATATTGTGGGATCGCACAAAAAAAATCATCATTCTCGGTAATTATTTCGGAGATCCTGAACTTTATCATATCATTACTAAAAGTCAATGAACATTGACCAACTTAGTAACTCCATGTTTGATAGATTAAGAGACATTATCTTATTTTTATGCATTTAACATGATACTAGGAAGGGCCAATCAATTAAATTTACGACATTTGTTCATTACCAAACAGAAAAAGACATAACAATTGCCTTCCTGACATCCACTGCCATCTTTAATTTCTATTTACGACTCTGCTTGATTACGGAGATTCCAGAATCATTTTATGAATGATAGACAATCTTCCGATTTCCATCACCTCCTGGAACATCAATGCACCTTGAAGGATGTAAAAACACAATTTACAGTATTGCACTTCTGACAGGTACAGACTCATTCAATTACAATTTTTACTATGAAAGTTCACCAATCCCAATTGCTATCTTCCAAAGCAGATTTAAGCAAAAAGTGTTACAATGAAAGAAAAAAAAAAAAAGAAAGGCTTTGCTCAACAACTTAGATGCTGAATAAAATCAACGACACAACCATAATTTTTTAAAACAGGCTTCATTCTACCTATCCAAAAAACAATCATAATGTAATTCTAAAAACAACAACAGTCTCTTTTGAATCAACAGAAACATTAGCTACTGCTAACTAATGGCCTATCGAATTTAAAGGCCCAATCTTTCCCCAATTGGCATATGCACAATCAAAGATCCAACACTGAATGATCACAAGTCAGTCGCGTTATTAATAAATCGGAGTATAAAACTGAATGAATTATTAGATTCAGCTTAAATTCGTACTCAATAACAGATCAATGAACCAAACGATTACTGTGAACGTACCACTACAGAGAGAGAGAAGATTCTTCCAACGCTAGGCTAGCTTTTGAGGCCCTGCTTAAGCTGATGTTAGAGAGAGACAGAGAGACAAAGAGAGAGAGAATCAACAAACAAACTTTCCTAAGCCTTGACGCGGCGGAGACAACGAATTTATAGAGGAGGAGGAGGAGGAGGAGGAGGAGAAGGAGGATCACGAGGTCTATGTTTGTATAAAGGACTCGAAATTATTTGAAATTACAACGNGAGCGTCCGTAGATTCATCAATGTTAGATTCCTGAATATACCTTATGACTCGAATGAAGATTCAGAGATTGTACAGAGAGAGAGAAGATTCTTCCAACGCTAGGCTAGCTTTTGAGGCCCTGCTTAAGCTGATGTTAGAGAGAGACAGAGAGACAAAGAGAGAGAGAATCAACAAACAAACTTTCCTAAGCCTTGACGCGGCGGAGACAACGAATTTATAGAGGAGGAGGAGGAGGAGGAGGAGGAGAAGGAGGATCACGAGGTCTATGTTTGTATAAAGGACTCGAAATTATTTGAAATTACAACGGAGGCACCTAATTATTGAAGATCTGATAATATTCTGGAAACTGGAAAGGATACGATTTCCTTTCCTTACTGTCATTCGCAGATNAGACAACGAATTTATAGAGGAGGAGGAGGAGGAGGAGGAGGAGGAGAAGGAGGATCACGAGGTCTATGTTTGTATAAAGGACTCGAAATTATTTGAAATTACAACGGAGGCACCTAATTATTGAAGATCTGATAATATTCTGGAAANTAAAGGACTCGAAATTATTTGAAATTACAACGGAGGCACCTAATTATTGAAGATCTGATAATATTCTGGAAACTGGAAAGGATACGATTTCCTTTCCTTACTGTCATTCGCAGATGGTGCAGTGAAAGCTAAGAAAAAACAAAGATCCACGTCAGCTCTGAATCAGATGATGTGGGGCCAACGTACGGACAATGTCGAGACAGGGCTTAGATCAGGTACACTAAAGTGTACATAAGTTGTTGTTACTTAGGAGAACTGAGCGCCGATTAGTGGGGCCAGTTTCATTTTAACGGCCCATAAAGTTAATAACCTAAAGATCCCATTTCCAAACCTACACAACTGGTACCCAATAAACAAGATTCCAATTTATGAAGAAGTATGAAAGAAGTTGGGATTTCTCGAATGGAGGAGGAAAAGTATACAGGGTGCACAGCTGGTCGGTTGAACAGTCAACTCTAATTTAATCTTAGGCATNTCTCGAATGGAGGAGGAAAAGTATACAGGGTGCACAGCTGGTCGGTTGAACAGTCAACTCTAATTTAATCTTAGGCATATAATTTTTAATCATAATTTTAACCCTATCTCAAATTGATGCACTCAATTTGAGTATTATCCTAATTTAATTCAGACGGATTCGGATTAAATTCAGATTAATAATTTTGAGTTATTTTACAGGTTCAATTCAGGTTGAATTCAAAATGGACTTGTTGTTTTAAACCTGATACATATATTACAAAATATTTATCTAAATTAACAACTAACAATTTCAATCAAGTTTTTAGCATAAAAATTATAATATTAAGAATTCAATATTTGAGATAATGCAACCACAACCATACAGAACACAAATAAATACAACCAGAATCCTTATACAAAATATAGAGTTCACTACTTAAATAATGAGTAAAAGAGGCGCACAAAAGACTTCAAAGCAAATTAATTCTAGATTTAAAAATGAATTTATATGATTATAAATATTTAGGTTCAACCCGGTAACAAGAGGTCCACCCAAATTAAATTCGAGCTGGATTTTTTGACCCAAGTCCTAATTTTTTCGAGTTAAGCTTAAGTTGAAATCGAGTTAATCCGCTCAAGTTACACCACTAAAAAAATATTACTATTTGGTCAAGTTCTCTTGGTCAATGCAATATACAAGTCATAAGAAGATTTAAAACTATATCAATCCTTTGAATTAATGGGAGCTGCTCTGTTAAACAAAATTCCTCCTATCCGAAGATGGGTCCTAATCTAATCCTTGATTAGTCAATTACTAAAACGGCAGGCGAAAGAGTATATAAAATAAAGAAAGCCATACTTTTCTTTTGTGGAACAGCCAATGGCATTTTGGACTAATAAATTATTTGTGTCGGCAGCGTCACCCCAATTGTGGAAAATATAAGCTTCAACAGTTAAACCTGTTCCCTGCAAACGTTTTATTTTTGTGTTACGTCACTTTTGTTCATATATTTTAGTGTCAAGTCACTTTTGTTAGATATGAGGTTGGAGTCGATATTCATGTTAATAAAAAATTATTTTATTTTATAATAACTTATATAATATTATTTAAAATTTTAATAAAAGTAAAAAATATTTATATTTTTTTTTACCTATAATACTCATTAAATATTTATTTTTTATTTACGATATCCGTTAATCGTGTTATTTTTATCTAAATTTATTCATGTCATTTTCGAGTGTTGTGTCGTGGCTAGTTGACACCCTTATTCTCCGTTTGATATGATAGAAAAATGAAAGGATAAAAAATTTGAGAGATAAATAAAACATCATGTTTAATAAGAAAATAAAATAAGAAGAATAAAAGAGTGAATTGATTAATTTTTCTTCCAACTCACCAAAATCAATCCCACCAAAATCAAAAGGAAATTTGATGAAAAATTAATTATTTGTGTTGAGATGTATCTTATTTGTCTATAAATTATATATACATTAATTTCATATAAAAATACAATAATAAAATGTGTGTGTGTGTGTGTATATATATATATATATATATATATATAAAATAAATGATCAAAAAATTAAAAAATAAAATAAAATTTTTAAATTGAAAAAAAATAAAATTTCATCTTAACTAGGGATGAAAATTTTCAACTCAACACAATAACACGACTCGAACTCGACATGAATTTTATGACACGAACTTGATTATAATTTGACACGAACTTGAAAATAAACTGACACGCGAATAAAAAATATAAAAGACTCATAATTTTATGACTTAACACGAATTTGACACGATACACGACTCAATTGTCACCCTTAATATTAGACAAAAAATTTAAAAAAAAATTGATCATTTTTATATTCTATCTATCCAGTCAAATACAAAGGAAAGAAAATATATCATTCTTATTTTTTATCATTGAAAGATAAAAAATATATCCCTCCTATTTTTCATTAGAGGTGTCAAACGTATCGGGTTAAACGATTATGTGTCGGATTAAACAGGTGACGGATAAAAAACATGTAAATCCGTAGACATGTTTAATAAACAGGTAAAAAATTTCAACACGAACATGACACGTTTAATGAACAGCTAACACGATACGACTCGTTTAACTCATTTTAAAAAAAAATTATTTTAACAAATATACTTTCCTCAAACGTGTCATAACCCAATTTATTTACTTTCAAATATACTTTCCTCTTATACACCTGAAATTATCCGATATGAAATAACCCAATCCCCCAGCTTCCGAGCCCTCCACATAGACACATAAACAAGTTTTTTTTATTCACACTTAACTACTTACTCTAAAAAAGTAAAGGCCTACTCTCATAAGTGATTAAATGTAAATCAAATGAAAATGTACTTTCTTCGGTTAGAAGAGTTTCAACCAACAGCGCACGTGAAAGCCACGTCACAAAGATTTTTTATTTTTTAAAATAAAAAGGTCCACTACCTTTTTGATATAGGCGACTAAATCCTCCCCTCTCTACTTCTGTATTGACGTGGGACTAAAGAAAAGACAATGCTGTTGCCTGTGGTCAGTTGAGAGGAAAAAGATTCTTTTCTACTCTTTCTTTTTGTTTAGATGGGTTTGTATGGGCAGCTGGGTTTGGGTGGCCGCATAGGTAACGCTATTGGCTTTTGGATATTTTGAAGGATTTTAAGCCAATAGATGTAAAAAAGTTTTTTTTTATTTTGATTCTTTTATTCATAGATGTAAAAATGACACATAGTCCTAAAAAAAAAAAAAGGCTCTTTCTTTACTGATTCATTATTATATATATAATTAATTTATTATTATATTAAATTTATTTAAACGGGTTAATAATTTAATATGTCTCACCTAAACACGATCTATTTATTAAACGTGTCTGGCGAGTCAATCCGTTTATTACCCAAACCCGCATAATTCATATCGATTCGTGTCAATTAATCGTATCGTGTCGTATTTTCATAGACATACTTTCTATCCTTTTTACTTGTCATCTTTTCTACCAAACGAAATATTAAATCTCAGGGACCCTTAAACTTTTCTTCCATTATGTACATAACCAGATGGAAATTGTCTATTTTCCAATACAAGATATGTTCAATTTTACAGATCTATGTCTCTTATAATATATATATATATATATATATATATATATATATATATTACCAATAATGAATTTCATCTATCTCTTGAAATAAATTAAAATGCATCGAAAGATATTTCACTCCTGATTTGACCTTTTGAAGAATAAATAAACTGTGGGAGCATTATCTTTCAATGGATAACATTTTTATGTGATATACTTACATACATAGATGGATCGAATCATTTTAATATCTATTTTGAAAAGTAGCACAAAGTAGTGAGTAGCTTTTTTAGGTATAAGGGGGAAATATCCATGTACCCCCTTAAATTTTTGAAAATTCTATACCTCGTCATCTTAAGCAGTTCATCTTATACGGGTTCAGATTTGGGTCAAGCCCATTAACTGGTCTCCCCAGTTTCAAAAGAGTGATCTCAAGTCTTTTGCCATTCCGAAAAATTTGTCCATTACGGACACAGTATAATCTGGGCTCATGTGTTCCAAGAAGCTATGTCACTGGCCTGTTGGCCCATTTCAGGCGGGTTTGTTTCATATCCATTGCAAATTAGGAGACATTTATTTTTTTGGGTTTATAGCATTTTTTACCTTTAAAGTATATACGTTTTGTCAATTTAGTTCTTGCATTATCAATTTGATCCATAAAAAATTCAATTCTTATTTAAATAATCTCTACACCAAGGAACCGTTAAATGTTTGACTGAATTATCACGTGATATCATCTAAAAGAATGATACGTACTCATTTTTGTTAAAAAAATTAACGCAATATCTAATTAAGGACTAAAGTGTCATAAATTGAAATTTTAGAGAATAAATTGATNTAATTCTTATTTAAATAATCTCTACACCAACGAACCGTTAAATGTTTGACGGAATTATCACGTGATATCATCTAAAAGAATGATACGTAATCACTTTTGTTAAAAAAAATTAACACAATATCTAATTAAGGACTAAAGTGTCATAAATTGAAATTTTAGAGAATAAATTGATAAAATTAATATAATAAAGACCAAACTGATAAAACCAACATACTTTAAACACCAAAAATATTATTAAATCTTTTTTTTTTATTCCCATTACTAA